GGGAGAGGAAGAGAGAGGGAAAGGAAGAGAGAGGGAGAGAGAGAGAGAGAGAGAGAGAGAGAGAGAGAGAGAGAGAGAGAGTGAGAGAGAGAGAGAGAGAGAGAGAGAACGCGTGCTTGCGCGAAGGCTTAGTCTACCCTTGTCTACCTTTGATGCTGGAAAGCAGCTGTGAAAGTAGTAATTAAATTAAATCGTATGTCTGAAAATCATCAATTACTTATCAGCAATAAAAAATAATAACAACAATAATCATTATTATATTATTTATTACTAGTAAAAACAAAAAACACATTAATATGATAATCAAGAAATCGGAGCAAAACGCCTACCTGGACGATTTGGATTCCATCCATGGTTGGCGTTTTGCCCCATTGACGTCTTTACGCAACAGTGTGTCAGTTGCCACATGCATGACTAAGGATCGATTATCACTAATAATATCAGGAGTCTATCAATAAATTGATAATTGATAGACTCCTGATAATATGGTGCAGACGTAGTAAACATATCGTTAGTTATTGGCATAGCCTGTGTGCTGCAGAGTTATCGGCGCTCACTCAAATGTTGTATGAAAAATCACATCACTTATTTATTAAGAATAAGGCAATATTTATAATTTACAACATGTGGCATAGACCGTTCTGTCTTGGAGGTCGACACTGCAGCAAGCACGAATATATATACAAACCAGAGGCGTAGCTAACCTATTTTGGTTGGAGGGAAAACGCCACACGCAGTTCGCGTTCTGGGGTGTAGGCCTTGAGCGTTGGTGCTGTCATAGATATATACAAACACATATATATTATGTTTGTATATAATATCAGTGGTGCTGCCAAGGCCCGGGTAACTGCCCCCCTTCTGCCCCCTGCTAGCTACGGCCCTGCCCCCTCTGTCAGCTACGGCCCTACAAACGCACGTGTTTTTTTAGTATATTTAGTACGTATGTATATTTAGACGTGAATAAAAGCAAATATTCATTCCTGATACGTTGTGTATATATATATACATGACGCCATTATCTGTATTTTAGCGATCCCATTTTACCCCCACCTTATTCTAGGACACCGAACCATACAAATTACCTCAAATATACATAGGCTACTAGTACTATATATATATATATATAAAATAATATATAATAATATATATGGATATATATATATATATATATATATATATATAGCCAATTAAGTTAAATCAAATGCGCGTTAATAAAAAGAATGATTTAAAACAAATAATGGCAAATGACTCATACAAGTGAGCATAATAAGTAACTTTAAAAATAATTAACAAAGTGACCAAGTTAAATTTAATTTACATTTTAATTATATCCTAATTGCTATATACGTAAATGCAAGAACCAAAAAATAATTTAGATCACTGAAATTATAATACGAGGAACTTCAACCACATAAAGCATGTCATGTCATGAAGTGGTTATCGTTTATAGCCGTGGTCGGGCCATAGAAATAATATAGATAGACTATCTATATTATATCTAGGTTATCGATATTATTTCTATGGGTCGGGCCATCGTATGTATCTATGTAGCGCGTAGGATGTCGGCGAGTACGATGACGATAGTGCACATGTGTTTTTAAGCAATCAATTATTCACGCAAATGACAAAATACTTTTGTAATTATTATACAAAATAAACAATAAATTAACAGTAGATTTAATTTCATTACCTGTTAACCTTACTAAGTTGGTTCCATAAAATCTGTAAATGTTGAAATCTCCGAAAGATGGCGATCGCTTGCGATTGGGTGGGTAAAAATTTTCATATCCGAGTACTGGCACCTGCATGTAAGGATTTGAAGGATTTGCCTTTTTGTATTTCTAGTGTGAAATGAATTGTAAACGTTTCGCCGTTATTTTGTGAATGCTGCGAGTAGCAAAAGACATGGTAATTGTAGAAATAGTTATTAATTTATGTGCTGTTTACCTGGTCCGTGTGCAATCTAATTCGCAACGTCGTAAGCCTATTCGGTTTGAATTTATATTTATAATTATAATTTTTAATTAGCCTACAGGTTTTACTTTTAAGTTTTACTTTTACTAAACGTTTTAACTTTTAGTGTTTCACTGTTTAGTGAATTAGTCTGCATCACACCGTTGACTTTTATTTCTATAAGTATAACTATTCTGTGGCTTTTTCCATTGCGATCCGCAGTGTTGATCTGTCGATTTGATCAACTTGTCTTTCCGTCTTCTTCCTTCTAAGGACTCTTTGGACTTTTGAAGATTATTCTTAAAAGTTTATGCGGTTGAGGTTAAACTCGCCAGTCGTGCTAAAAAGGCAATGCCCGATGTAGAGTACGTAAATTTCGTTCTATGTTGTAGTACAATGAATACGCTGTAGTGTGGATAACGTTTTGATTCTCCTACACGTCGTGATCATGTACGTAGTCCTGTTATTGCAGAGAACCTATTTAGTTCCAAGGTATGTAATGAATAGCTCCAAGAAACGGTATTCACCGTATTGCTAGGGTTAGAATACTGTTGTATAGACAATCGGTCGCACAGCCTGGTCGGGCTATGTAATGAACTGCCGCGTAACAAGAGCAACAGCACAGTGTTTGTGATCAAATATCAACAATCATCGTTGTCTGCAACCAAGATATATAAAAGGAGGTGGGTGAAAAATAAGCGGGGGATATGGGGGCCCTCCCCCAGAAAATTTTGAAAATGTAGATCGCAGGAGATGGTATTTTGAGGCACCTTTGAGTACATGTACAGCCTTCATTCTGCGTACGACAATTCTCTTTTTAGTAGAACAATTCTTATTTTTATTTTTTATCCTTATACTTCCAGATCAACAGGGGCCGGGGGCCATAGCCCTCTTTGCCCCCCCCACCCTAACTACGCCACTGTCACTGATGATGATATATGATTGGCCATTTTGCTGAAAAATACATACATTTTCTGGCCAAAACATTTAATACTATTGAAACTAGCACATTGTTACACATGTATGTAATTTGTGTAGTACCTGTACAGAAAATGGTGATCAAGTGTTGATGTGTACAGCAGTTACAGGTATACATGTGGTTTTTACTTAGATGGTAAAAGTAGTTATCTCCTGGCTTTTGATCTGATGGGTGGATACAGAGTAAGTTATATGGGCAGAAAGAACCCTGGCATGCTTCCATACATCAATTTAGTTGTAACATGTGTTTTGCAGGTGTTGCATGAATTAGTCAGCGAGGCTGGGCTGGGGGTTGTTTTGGTGGTGGTCTGGGTAGACGGAGCGTGGCGCATCTTGTGCGGCTGGATTGATGTTATGGGGAGAATGGTAAACGTGTTTTAGGTCCGGGCGTTTTTAGAGTCATTGTGAAATGGGGGTAAGACGCGGTCTGGGAGAACGGGTACATGTGCATGCAGGATGTAGGGGTTTTGGGGGTAATATATAGGACAGAGATGTAGGAGTCAAGGAGAGTCTGGTTGTGTTCGCGTGTGCACGTTCTTTGTTTCTTTGTGCAAGATGGACACACTGTGTGTAAGATATTGATGTTTATTCGGGTTATCACACAAGTTTGGATTTCTATATTATCATTTATACATCGCACTTTTAATTCAACGTTTAATAGTTGTCTTTATATGCTTGTTTTGAAATACAACCCAAGTAAAATTTGCTTTGTAATTAAACAGTGCAGTCAGTTTCATATCAAACGGCGCCTCGTTCCGTTTCAGTAGGTGCTAAGCATCAGACAGTATGGAGTTGAATAAAGTGATGTGTATTGGTGTGAGTCTAGACTCTGCTGGTGTCACTCTGAAGGTACAGAATGGTGTTACTTTGTAGATATTGCTGGTTGTCACACTATGTATTGATGGTTTCAAACTGTAGTCTTCACACTGTGAATTTTAGTCCTGACATGTCGTACTGTAGGTACTGATGATGTCACACTCTAGTTATTGCTGGTGTCACTCTGTAGGTATTGATGGTATCTAACTTTAGGTATTACACAGTGTCATACTGTAAGTAGTGATGTCACACTCTAGTTATTGCTGGTGTCACTCTGTAGGTATTGATGGTATCTAACTTCAGGTAGTAAACAGTGTCATACTGTAAGTAGTGATGTCACGCTCTAGTTATTGCTGGTGTCCTCTGTAAGGTTAATTGACTGGTATCGGCGTAATCTTTCAGTAGTTACAGCAGGTCATACTGTACGTAGTGATGTCACGCTCATAGTTAGCCGGGGCTGTCTCTGTAAGGGTATTGGTGAGGTATCCTAACTTCCAGGTAGTAGAACATGTCATACTGATAAGTAGTGATGGTCAGCGAACGTCTAGTTATTGGCGGTGTCACTCCTGTGGTATTGATTAGGTAATCTAACTTCAGGTAGTAAACAGTGTCATACTGTAAGTAGTGATGTCACGCTCTAGTTATCGCTGGTGTCACATATTAGGTACTGATGGTTTTAAACTTTGGCTAACGCTCCATTAGGAGTGTTCCCAACGTTGATATCATTAATGATTAATGATTAATGATTGATAATCCTAATCCTAACTCTAACTCTAACCCTAACTCTAACCTAAATGACATTAAAATTTAAACCACAAACTAATATATGACCATGACCATGTATATATATGGTTTATAATGGTTATTATGACCATTAATGACATTAAAGTTGGGAACACTCCTAATGGAGTATCACCCTAAACTTTAGTCCTGACGTTGTAGCCCTGTCACGTAATGCTGTAGGTACTGATGATGTCACACTTTAGTTGCTTTGGGCCAGGTTAGTACCAGAGGAGGACAGCTCTAGCAGGTGGTTGCAGCCTGCCTGCCAGAGACTTACCCCCCCTTATTGGTGGGAAAAATTAGCAACTTGTCGGGGTATCTATGGAAAATATTTGCAGTCTATGTTATGTATATATATTTGTATCAAGAGTAGATAATAGGGAATTTTTAGGGCGTCACCTTGAACATCGTCAAGCCTGAAAGCTATTGCCAATTGGTCGTCGTCCCGTCGCTAGGTCCGTTGAACCGTTGTCGCGTCAACATTTTGGCTACGGTCACGCGATAAACTCAGGACCGTTTGACCATGTTGGAAAATTTGTATAGTTGTTACTGGCTATGCTGCCGCATAGTTAAACGTCCTAATTTTGGAGCACGCCAGTTGTACGTACCCTTTTGGAGCCACGGCAAGTGTTTTGATTAAAATAGGAATTGTTTATTAGCTGATTCAGGTCAACGGATTTTGGCACTCATATTTTTTGTTTTTTTTTTTAGGTATGTGGAATGAATAATGCGCTAGGGTTTGATATTAAAAAAAATTATGCCAATTACGGTCAGGTTTGGACAATTATATAGCATATTATGATAAACAACGGCAGATAACAAACACTCTGGGTGTCAGGCACTCATGCTGATTCGCTTTTACAAGATTTTATTGACAAAATATTTTTATTTTATTTAAGCAAAATTCCTGCTACTGAAAATATTATGATTTAATAACATATTATTATTATTATGCTATATAATGATGTTATGCTAAGAAACATCAACAGCGGGTATACGCACCATCTATCCCGTCAGCAAATTGTGATTCATTTTGTTTAATAATTATTTATAGATTTATATATTATAATATTATTTTATTATTTCACATAAAAAATTACACGTAATTATCGAAGAGTATATAAGTGGAAGTTCTCCCATATATACTCTTCGTTTCTATAATGTACGTCGATGGTTGCTCAATTAAAACTGACTTCTTCTCACTCGCTCATTTGTGTCCTATTTTGTGGTGAGCTACAGTGTCATTGCCACTTTCATTTATTATCTACTCCTGATGTGTATGCTATCTCTGCCCTTCATTTATAATGCTGTATTAGTTTCAATAACCTACGAAAAACAAAAGCACAAAGAGGTGATTTATGTGTCTATATGATTTACAATATACATAGTATATAAAATAGTTGAAGATATAGAAACGATTTCCTCCAAAAATGCTGAAGACATTTTTAATCCATGAAATTTTGGAAAAAATTAAGATCTAGTTTTATACAAGTTTAGCCCCCACCCTCACCCCCTCATCAGGGACCTATACCTCCCCTGCCGGAAACCCAAGCGGCCCCGTTGGGGGACCTTAGCCCCTACACCCACAAACCACCACCATTAGGGACCTTAGCCCCTGTGTCAGGCAATCTGAGCTGGCAACCCTTTGGATATCGTTCACCTACAGTGCTTCAATTTGTAAGGTTTTTTTTGGGTTGTCGCCGAGGAGCAACCAAAGAGACCCATAAGGTTGTCCTCAGAGAGTTTTTGGTTGTCCGGATACATTATTCTAAACATGTGCTGGCACTGCGCTCTGCTCTAACGTGATGCTCAGTGCTGTAAAGCAAAAGGCCTAATCATGTACATTTTATTGTCAAGTCACAGATGAGCAAATGAAAAATTAACACTAGAAACATTGTGTGTTGTTAAACACGTAATGTTATACTTGTATCAAGCAAGCCAGACAAGCTGCGTCTAGACATGTGCGTTTGCAGCGTATTGTGCAACCCTGGCCGTATGTAAAGATGACGCGCGAATTATGAATATAACATTGTTTAATAGAGTTGGACACCGGACAACCACGGAAGCAATTTGTAAGTTGCGCCGAGAGAAAATCAGTGATCACGGATCTGTTAAAATTGAGCCTGTACCTATAAATGTGGGTAACACTGCAGGTAGTGATGGTGTCACACTATATACAGGTACTAATAGTGTCATGGTGTAGGTAGTGATTATTTCATACTTTAGGTACTGCTCATCCGAAACTTTATGTACTGATCGTGTCACTATAGCTGCGTTCACACGAGGATTTCAATACTGTACTGAGCGTTCACACGGTAAAAATATTCAAGACTTATACGCGGCCTCCCAAGTACCGTACTGAAATACGAGGCTTATTCGGCGCGGAAAGTGATTCCGCGCTGTAACAACGGCACCACGCTGGCCGCGTATTGTCTGTCGTGTGAACGCAATTCGAGGCATCGTAAGCCGTGAAACTGTAGTGCGCTGCATTGATACTAGGCGGCAGAGTGTCATTTTTCACTTAAGGCTTATGCCATTGAAAATATTTCTCCGAATTTCCTTTTGATAATCGTCTTCATCACCAAAGCATTCGTAATGCTAATCTGGATCATCATTTTGTGTAATTTTACTGAAAAACTGCCACAAACAACTGACATTCATGGGGGCCGCCATCATGAAAAACACTTCTCTTTAACCGAGAAATTATTTATTATTATACCTGGCCAGCCTATACCAGCTAAGCCTCAATTCTCGTGTGAACGCTGCAGGTTGTGTTAGCATGGTATTTCAGCCGAATTCAGCACCTGATAAGTATGGAACCAGGGAGGCCGTGAATCTCGTGGGAACGTAGCTTTTGTAGGTACTGCTTGTGCTACACTGTAGGTACTGCTTGTGCTACACTGTAGGTACTTTGTAGGTACTGCTTGTGCTACACTGTAGGTACTGCTTGTGCTACACTGTAGGTACTAATAGTGTCACATTGTAAATACTGCTGGTGACATACTGTGGAGACTGGTAGCATTATACTGGTAATACTACAGAGATCTGTGCCTAGCACTCATGAACTCACTCGTTGCCCCCAAAAAACTGTACTTTGAAAAAAGTACTCTGAAACTCCTCTGATGTTCAGCAATCTCTTTCTGTGCTCTTTCCATTCACAATAGCAAGATTTTGAGTGAGATAGGGTAACATTTTTCGTCTGGAGATTTTTGTGATTGTGTGTGTCTGGTGGGGAGGGATCCCACAATATCCCATCCTCTAACCACTACTTTTTTCATGGACATACTCCTGTTTCTGACATAGTACCACAAAAACTATCACAGAGTAGTAGGGTAAACTGTATGCTGGAAAAATCGAAATTCTGTATTTTACTATTTTGAAAGCCAAGAAAGTTCAAGGGCCTAAAAAGGTGTGAAGAAAACACATTTTCCAGTAAGCCTTAGTCTAAAAGGCTTAGTGAATAGGGTAATTAATCTCTGAATGCTAATTGGAGTCAGTTATGCCTGTAGTAAGTGGCTCCAATACACAGATCAGTTTGGAGATGTATACATCAAGCTGTGAAAACACAGCATGACTGTGTAGTGTTGGGATTGTGAAATGTAAATATTGCTGGAAATTAAGACATGCCGATTTGGCAATTAAGTCATGCCAAACAAATTTATGGGATGTTGATAATTAACTTCAGCTATGAAGGCGTTGTGGACTGACATGTGTTAAAGCAGTCATCTCTTGAATACATCCAAAATCAGAAAACGTAGTAAAATGTAGTCCCGACTCCCACCTATTAGCGATACTTATTACACCAGCTTGAAATGTTCAAAGGGTTATGGGCAATTGCCTTGTAAATGGACCAAAAACACAAATGCACCTAATTCTGACAAAAAGTGTATTTAATTCTGTGAGGTAAGTGGCTGTAGGCTGTTACTGCATCTTCATACTTTTACTTTTTACACATTACCATTAACAAAGTGTAGAGACAGGGTTTCGCGAGAAATAAGTGACATCATTATTCAACGTGTAACCAATAACAAGGGAATCAATAAAGAAGTTTCAATTGCAGCATGATTTCGTGAAAGTAACGATGTACGGGTGTTTTAAGGCACGTTATCCTTACTGTAGACACTTGCTGATACGCCTGCAGTACCAGTACTGTAATTGTCTTGAAGATGGGAGAATGGTTAGGAAAACTGTTTGGACTTCTTACTTTAAAGGCTCGGGGAGAACCCTGACATGCATGATGCACGCACGCACGCACGCACACCACGCACGCACACCACACACACCTCACCTCACACATACCACGCACCATGCGCATACGCACGCACACACACTTTTATAAAACGAGTCAATAAAAAAAGTAGAAAAAAAATCTTGCATATCATAAATTTATTCTAATAAGTGCATGGCCGTAGTCAGACGTCGGCAATGACATTGACTGGGTAGTACGAAAATATGTCGTCACAAGATAGCTCTTTGAGCTACTTATCAATAAATGTTCAGTAAATGCTCAACATAATACGTAATCTCAAGGTTTTCATTAGAACTAGGCGACTGGAAAAATTTGTCGTTTATTTGAGCACGTGGTACACAAGTTTTACACCAAACAATAGGCCTGTAAATATTCAATTCATATGCTTCATAGCATAAATTAACTTCAAAATTGCTGGGGTTTCTTGATGCTCTATTTAACTTAAGTTTTTCTAATATTTATGGCATGTTCTCTATAAATATAAAAGTGCTGCTGGCATGGCGAATGTTTCGCAATATTGTACAGTTCAACAACCAATTTACATCGACAAAAATTACAGTTTTGGCTGAATTTCCAATAGCCATTTTATTATGCATCGATGAATGCACCGTGTACGTGTATCTTTAAATTGATCGTTGTTAAACTTAAAGTGAATGTAAATGTAAAGGTTTCAGACTCCTTAAGAGGTAAATTCTCTATAGATTATCTAACATGTTTTTTATTGATGTCAAAGCAGATATTCAGGGTATTGTATATATTCGGGCTTTATTGGGGAAACGGATATTTATCGTTTAGACGTATATATGCTGCCGTCAGTTGATTTATTACTACTTACAGAGCCTGTCTATTGACTTTATCTTTTATAAATCCCATACGTAGTGCATCTGTTGCTACATATGCGACATTGAAGCAATTGGTCATTATCGTCTCATTATGGTGTTGCATACATAAATCCAATGATTTCAGTGCATATTTTTGTATAACGTATGTTCTCAATGTATTGTAACACAACTTTTCTTGAATGAACTATGTACAGTCCACGTATTTGGGATTCGTGTTAAATTTAACAATTTAAGGCAATGTTATGATAAGTGGAATATGGGTGGAAAGCTATGTATGGTAATTGATATTATTTTCAGGACAATTTCCCAGATTCCCTGACATCTTCACCACGCACATGTATATTTGGGCAGTTTACTAAGCTCTCGGCAGTGTTTGGAAATGTTTCAGGTTATCTAGGTCAGGCTAAAATGAGCAGTCTACTGCTAATAAAATTCTGCTACAATGTACAAGGCAGTGCAAACATCTGGTGAGTGCACGCCCTGCTCCAGTATTGCTGAAGGGGTCGTTGTCGTATATGTACCCGAGTATAGTACCCGAGGTGTCGGCGAGTATGTCGCCTACGCCTACTCCCTAACCCTAACCCTAACCCAGGTAACCCTAACCATATCAAATAGTTATCTCGGGTACATATTATACGCCATTATACGACAACGACCCTTCGTGCTCCAGTATTGACCAGTAGCAGCCTCAATTATAGGTCCAATCAATTGCACGGCAAATTCTGACAAGTTTTTCTTTGACAAGAACGTGAAATTTCGTGCGTCTTCTATTTCTAACCCAGTGTTATACTATAATCGACATCTCAACATTACGCTTCTATTTTAAGAAAGAGATGAGAGAGAATGTTGAGAATTCACTCAATTGAAATTGATCAAAGAAAAAGCAGAAATGGTTGTATTTCGCAAGTTCTCCGCACATGCCTTAGAGGACTTAGAGGGCTGAGCTATCGAAATACCTCTTGGTTGAAGCTATACACGAAAGTGTTGAGGACATTTTCTTTCCACAGAGAGTTATTGTGTGCCGTTAACATAACTGGAAAAACTGGCATAAATTAGGTAGTCGGAAGTTGGTTTATATAAAAGGATATCCCAGCGCTCACGTAGTCCGTAGTTTGAGCCACAGAGTTTTATGTGAGATGAAAAATGTGCCGTAAGTCAGCACGATGTTGAAAGCTGTGCTAACCAAATATCTTGATAACTTAATAACTTAATAACTTGATAGAAGTAGTTAAGGCAACTAGCACCTGCTAAGGACTAGAATAATCGACTGTGATTAGGTACAGAATCTCTATTAACTAGAAGCTGGTTAGATGTGCGATGTCTAGAATACTTACGAGTGTGACCTAGCTGAGTCTTTTCAAAGTAATTGTAAATTTAAAAAACGCGTTTTTATTACAGTACATTGAATCTAGGTAGATAGTGCCAGTCGATAATTGGCAATAATAATTACTATAGTATGAATAATGCATTGTTCCCTCATTGTTGTGGGTGAAATGAATCCTGTTTGATCAATCGGATGAATGAAAAGGAATGTGCTGTGTGTTTATCACATTTTTTAACCAAAATTCTTATTTGCGCATTTCAAAACAATGCATTATGTGTATAGTAGTTATTATTTACTGATACACGTAATGGGTTTACTTGGTACAAAGTAAACTTTAAGAAAACTGCCAAGATTTGCAAAGAAAATACAGTCCCACTGCCAGGGCCAGGTATTATATATGTAATATCTTATGAATAGGTCGATTGATAATCACAGGAACTGCTCTTAGTCTTAGAACTTGCTCTTAATCATAGGAATCTTGGTAAACTGGTAAATATTGGCATTTTGCTGAAGATATGGGAGATAGTAGTAGCCTGCAGTAAGTTCGATTAAAGATGCGACACGTTCTATTGAATGGCGGGAATATTTTTTTGCTCATTCTAGTAACATTATTGCCGTTATTTGCCATGAGTTATTAAAGGCTATATTTTTACTCACGCTAATCGAATTATGACGTGTGTTAGCAAACACCTCTACTGACCAAAAAGGACATTTGCAGCATTTTTTCGCATTTACTGCAGGTATACAATAAAATAACCTACATGGAATGGTCACCTATCTATAAAGGTTACTTTTGGGGTGTCTTTTGAATGTTCCATTTCTACAGGTTTTACTGTATTATAATGCTGCTATCAGTATCTATTGACTATTACTAGTATATTTTAGTATTATTGTTCGTATAGCTAAATTTTCTTATATTCTTGATCATTTCCTACTTGATTACTCGTTGCTTGCCTTCTCCCCACTGACACTAATAACATGGAACATAAATTTCTCTCGCCCTTCCTTCCTGTCCTCTCTACCTCACCTTTTTCACGCCCTCTCTCATTCTCATGCTCACTCTCACTCTCTGCTTTCTCTGCTTCTGTTCTCCTTCCTCCGCCTCCCCCTCCTCCTCCTCCGCGTGTGTGTGTGTGTGTGTGTGTGTGTGTGTGTGTGCGTGCGTGCGTGCGTGCGTGCGTGTGCACGTAAATATGCATGTGTGCATACATGTGTGTTGTATGGAGTTGGTTATTATGCTTAGAAAATTAGGTAATACAATTATGATTATGTTGACAATTGTTTCAGAAAGCAAGATAATAATCTCAGATTGTTAATATATTTATTAGGATTTATTCATAAGGTCTTTATGAGCAGCAATCGGCATTGCTCTGTATTTTCGTGTAATTCCACCTTATAAGCAGTATTTAAATATCACTCGTCTCCAGCATTTCGGGACCTTCTCAGCAAAGGGTAATTGACACATAACGCTTCATACATTTGTATGCTTCATAAATTATATACGTTTCTCAATATTTCCCACATATATATGGTAGTGTTTTATTAATCCCTGATTATATAGTGTAATCATTTAAAAATTGTAGTGTAATGTATAAAAGTAGTAAAATTAAAGCAAATTCTAGCAAGGATATATTTGGTGTTTTCTGAGAAAATATGTATTGGTGGGGAGAAAACCAGCTGCATGGCAGAGTGATTAGTGTAAGTCAGTTACTTGTGTGGTGAAGTTAAGTCCAGTTCTCTAGACCTGTAGCTGACCTACAAATTGCTATAATTAAGTTCATACTTAAGAACCTAGGCTGTTAAAACTGAATAGTAAACTGACCCCATGCGAGATTATCACACACGCGCTAGGCTCTAGCGCTAGCTGTTAGACTTTATTCGTCACTATGCAGGCGGCTCGTTGGGGAGTGCGATGAGAAGATGCCGGTGTCACAAAGACGTGTACACTTATAAATTATTCATTCGATCCGCGCCACTGATATTATTGAGCCGCTGCTTTGAACTGGCAATATATCGGGGTAGCACTCACCGGTATTATTACAATGGAGCGCTATGGATAAAGTCATATATATTATATATTATATATATATATATATATATATAATATATATATATATATATATATATTACCCTCCTTGGATCTGTCTTAGACCTGTGGCAGAGCGAACGAGGGCTAGCCTATAGTACTGGAGCTACTGTGTTGTATACTTGCATGGATGCAATAGTGTTACCCAACACACACACAGTAGCTCGCCTGTCTCTATTTGTACTCTACTCCACTGTCTCTATTGTACTCTGTGCTGGGTTACATTACTGTATCTAGAAATATTCGCGTATCTTTCTGCCCACTGTGTAATAATACATACTCTGATTTCGTTTAATTTCTCGCATGACCGGCTGGTGAAGGTTACTTTCACGTGAGGATAAGCTTGTAAATTATGTTAAAAACCAGCCCTAAATGATTTCGTCTTTGCTTTTTTCATGACTGGCAGGAGCCTGCACGAGACTAACAACCCGGCGACGACGGCGGCATTACCGGATCGGCGGCAGCTGAGATAACGTATGGGTTTCTCTGAAGCGGCCGACGCGTTATGCGTGCAGCAGCCACCTCATTGACGCCGCAGGTCGTTAGAGTGCAGCTGTTTGCACACCGCCGCCGCTAGCAGCAGTCTTCTGTGCATCACGCCGCCCTCTGCTGAGGCGTCGACTGTCGTCGCAGGTCCAGTCTGCACCGGCTTCGCGCTAGCCAGGTGCCGGACGGGCACAAACACGACCGCCAAGATAGGTTGCACAATGGGGGGAGGCCACTCAGCACGCAAGGCATCCTTTGACGCTGAAGGCGAGGGTAAGGAAGGAAGGCGTGTCCGCGAGAAACCGAGCGCTCTAGTCCTCGCTAAGTGCACGAAGAATTGGATCTAATCATTTCAGTGCGGGGGGGGGGGGGCTTACGAGCTGTCCCTGCCAAGACGTGCGCGGGTGGCTTTGATGAGCACCCGCGGGTTAGCGTTTGATATGAAGCTGCAATTAGAGGGCAGCCGCAGTTAGCATTAGAATCTGACTGATCAGCTGATACTCGCGTCGGAATTTGTTGCAAATAAATGCAGTTCTCATAGAAAGCTGAATTTTGCATAGTTGCCGCTATTCACAAAGCAAACGCATTCAAAGCAACCCCCTCCCCACCGACAGTTGGGATAAGCCAGCCGTGCGGTCATGTTTGCTGGTGGCCCTCTGTCGTTAGAACTGTATTGAGTTTCTAATATCGTGACTCCGGAATGCCGTTATTGCTTTGCTTCTCTGGGTATGAAGTCACTGTGCCGTAACTGTGCCGCGTGTGAAACCGCCCAATTTTCGCAGGGCAAGGCAAGAGCTGTTGGTCTAGCGATAATATTGGAAACTCAGCACAGTTTAAAATATGCCTAGTTATGGTGGCCGTGACATAGCCTATGCCATGTCCACTGTGTACATATTATAAACTTGGACTAATTACCTAAATTAACTAACCCTGATAGCTGGATTCTGTTCATATCTGTAATCTGTATCTCTCTCTCTCTGTTTTACAGTTGATTTCGACCACTTCCAGATATTGCGTGCAATTGGCAAAGGCAGCTTTGGCAAGGTTCGTAAACTACTCAACATTGATTTGCCACTCGCTAATGCAGATTTTTGTTTTGGGGGCGGATGTGTGCACGGGGTGGGGTGGGATGAATAGGATGGAAGTGTGTACTCACTAGTTAATCTGTCATCAACGGCTAAGCTTGGGCAGCATTAGCAGAAAGTGCGCAGGTTGCGTGGGGATGTAACGCGTACGTCTGTCGAACGCGCTGGCTGTGCTTATCTGACTGCTTGGTGTCCCCAGGAGACCTCGCGTGTCTCTGGCTCTGAGCGTCCCAATAGAGCGGAATCCAACGCTAATCATGTAGCCGGAGCGAAGGGGCTACATCGGTAGCCGTAGGGCTAGACGCTCGCGTCTTATAGTGCCAGTGCTCCATATTTGGCCATCTTCCATATCATTTCAGTTACACTTGCATCACTTCCACTGGTTATGTAGCGTAGTATGCTATATATGGTGGGTTGAACATGGCGCTGGTTGACATGCCTGGGGAAACGGGTTGGTGACAGTCACTGAAGGTCTACAGGCAGCAGTGACGCACCTGCCCATTGTTGTTATGAATGCACTTTGCATGTTCATGTGCACTCAACGACAGTAGAGGTGAAGGTTATGTATGACTTGTGTCAGATACAGATAACCAACACGAAATAATATACATTGATCGATATTTAAAATACATCATGTATACTTGTGCGTGTGCGTGCGTGCGTGCGTGCGTGCGTGCGTGCGTGCGCGCGCACAGGTGTGCGTGTAGCTGTGTGTTTGTGAAACAGTGAGCGAGGATAGAGTGCACGGCAGGGTTTGCTAATGATTGGTGGGGGTGTCTGTGGTAATAAGCACTAATAAGCACACAGATGTTCGGCAGCTGTGACTGCACCCAGCCGCGCGTGCATTGATGCCGATAATTATTCAATCGATATCTGGTTCATATATCCGTCTACATATATGTTGTCCTAGAGAAGTACAAGGTTTATTTTTAGGCCGTGTACTAGACCTAACTGTTTTGGCTGTCAGCAGCAAACTATAGCTACACGATTGTAATGTGGCGATTATATCACGGGTGTGCGCACACAATCTCACGCTCACCTATAGATGGATCGATGAGACAAATTAATATGCAGGCTGAAGAATAGTTAATACTACTCAGAAGATAGGCAGGCGAGTGTAACAACTAGGATAAGTGAGAAGGATTAAAATAGGGTAAATTAATGGAAGACACCGATTGATATATACAGGTGAGATAGACGTGGAGTAGAGGAGAGACTACTGAACGACTCTTAGATATATGTCCCCCCCCCCCAAATCAATCATTGTGGCTACACCGGGTTTCACGTATTTCAGTTGGATTGCAAAGGTGCCTCGTAGCGAGCAGTACTATAATAGCCCTGGTCCCTACGTGTGCAGAGTTCTCAACAATCGGGGAAAAACACAACCGATTGAGTTAAATAGTAACATTGTTTTTAATGTCAGGGAAATGTTATTTTTTTATCTCTCTACTAGCGCGAATAGTTTTTGTGATAAGAATCCTTCATTAGAAATGTATAACTCTTAATTAGACATTAAATTTTCATTAGCAAACTACCCCAGTATTGTTAGACCTAGACTTTACATGATATTCTATACATACAATTTCATATTTCTTCTTATAATAGTATGGATTTAATTTTTAGTATAGCAAACAGTAATGCTGTTGAATGTGATTGTAAATATAATCAATCTCAATTTTATATTACCTGCCAGTATGAATGCTGTTTTGCAAGATTTATATTCGATTTTCAAGGTTATGCAATAAACCTGTTATCTATCTATCTATCTATCTATCTATCTATCTCTCTCTCTCTCTCTCTCTCTCTCTCTCTCTCTCTCTCTCTCTCTCTCTCTCTCTC